CCCGCCCGCACGCCCTCTCCTCTGCCCCTTTCTCTGCTCCTCCGCCCTCGCCCCCGCACACACACCCTTCCTCCAGCCAGGTCCCTCCTGCTCAGGGAGGAGGCGCCCCGAAGGGTTGGAGATCTTCCCCTTTTCTCCCTTCCTTTTCCCTCCCAGCCCCCCCGCCCCGGTCTCCCCACCTCGGTTCTCCTAATCGGCTCTCCCCTCTTCTGGGTAGCCTTTTGGCTGCAGAGGCAAAGCACAAGCCCCGTGCCCGGTTCCACCTGCAACCCCTCCCCTCCCCCCAGCTGCTCTTTTCAAAGCAACTCTGGTGCTTCTGGGGTTAATTGCCCCAGTTTTCTGCCCAGGAGAATTAAAATTTCTCCCAACCTTCTCTCCTCGCTCAACCTGACCCCCCATCTCCTACTACATGAGAAAAACGATCTTTTCTCTCACACGCATTCCATCCTCAATTCTTCACTGAGCTAGTTTTCTCTAAGCCCAGCTCAGTCCACCCCAAATTTGATTTATAATCGTCCCCGCCCTTTTATATAAAAGAGATTCTCCACGGCCTAGAATTTGAGAAGAACCCCATAATCCTTTCCTGGGGGAGCTTTTCAACCATTAGACAGTGACTGTTCAGGCTCCAGTGGACGGTCCGCAGCACTTCTTCTGTCCCCCTGCTCCTACCAGTGTCCCCAGGGCAAAGGCAGACAAGGGACACCCTGGGCAAAGTCTCAGGTCGGGGTGGGGGTCCAGGACAAGAAAAGCTGTTTTGCTGTGGGGCTTTCCAGGTAGAGATCAGAATCAGTGACTCGGTCCTCGGGCCTGGGAGCAATTTATTTGCCACCGGAGGGGTTATCGGAAGAGCCAGTGAATAGCAGCCTACCACCCCATAACACAGATACACTGTGGACCCCCAAACCCAGCCTGTCTCCTTCTTCAAAGACTCCAGCTGCCCCTCCCGGGCTCTCTGCTTCCCCCGGGCACATGCTGACGCCCCTGTGTGGGCTGCTCTGGTGGTGGTGGTGCTGCTGCGGCTGGTACTGCTGTGGACTGTGCGCCCCGGCCCCCCAGATGTGGCACCACCAGGGTCTTCTCAAGTGCCGCTGCCGCATGCTCTTCAATGACCTGAAGGTTTTCTTACTGCGGCGCCCTCCTCCAGCGCCCCTGCCCATGCACGGCGACCCCCAGCCCCCCGGTTTGGCGGCCAACAACAACACCCTTCCGGCTCTGGGTGCCGGGGGGTGGGCCGGCTGGAGGGGCCCTCGAGAAGTTGTGGGCAGGGAGACCCCTCCTGGGCCGCCTCCACCCCCTTTGCCGCCTTCTTCTGCGGAAGATGACTGGGGTGGCCCAGCCACCGAGCCACCTGCCTCGCTGCTCAGCAGTGCCTCCTCAGATGACTTCTGCAAGGAGAAGGCGGAGGACCGCTATTCGCTGGGCAGCAGCCTGGACAGTGGTATGAGGACCCCACTCTGCCGCATCTGCTTCCAGGGACCAGAACAGGTGAGTTTCCTTTTTCCCTTCTCCTGCTTCCTGTGGCAGCTCCAGGTCTTGCAGATTGCCACTCGCCTGCTGGCCCTGGGGAACCGTTGTGTTGTCTCTGGCATGAAGGCTGTAAGTTTTAAGAGCGCCTCTTGATGTTTCTTGTGGTTAAGTTTGCCCAATTGGCGTCTGGTCCCTGATGGACCTGTTTGGTGGCGTGCTTGCACTCTAGTTTTTGCATTTCCTTCCAATGCTCGTGTCTTCAGTTCCATCCAAGAACTCCAAAAACATCCTCAGAGTAGAAGCTCCAGAAGCAATGAAGGGAAGGGACTTGGTGGTACGTTCATGCTTGTTGCCAAGGTATCCTTTTGTCTGATTTGTTGTTGGTAACGTTTCCTCCAGCTCAACTTTAATCCGAGACTCAAACTTCTTCCTTCTCTGAAAGTGTGCCAAGATCTTGTTCTTTGTCCCCGTTCTCATAGGTTGAAATTCAGCAAGCCTTTTTTTCACTTTGAAACTACCTCCTCCCATATCACACTGACATCCTCAGAAGTATGTCCTAGTGACTGAGAAGGAAATGGAGAGTGATTCTAGGTCCAAGACTAGACAGTTTGCTAAGACACTTCTTGGCAGACTCAAATTTTTCTGTGTTGAAAGCAAGTAGATAAATAGGGGTGAGAGTGAGCTCAAAGGACATGGAGAAGGGAGTAGGGAAGATTGTCATATCTATTCCTTTTCTCAGTCCTGAAGTGCATTGATGTTCCTTAAGCTTTCCCTGACTAGGATAGGGAAGGCCAAGTCTCTCACGAACCAGAGCTTCCCCAAGTCCGGTGGGTTCTCCCTACCCTATCCATTCAGATTTTCATAGGCGTCCCCTCCTACTCCACTTACAACTTAGTGTCCGCAATGCTGTATAGCATGGGTGCCCTCTTCAAAAGCCATACATTTGTGGCAACCCTTTCCAAAGAATCCAAGATAGGAAGGCTTGCCTGAAGAGCTGATCTAGTTGGTGACGTTCATTTGCAAAATGGACAGGGTTATGTGTTTCCCACCAGCCACTTCAGTAATGTCCTAACTGGGGGGGAAGACTTCTGGGTGCTCCTTGAATAAGTGACCATGCATGCAGCAGGATGCCATGCTGGTTTTCCTGACTGGCTCTGGTCCTTGCTGAAGGCTTGGTCTGTGAGACGCAGGCTTAGCTGGCATCTCCATTCATTTTCTTCTCTTTGCTCTGAATGGACAGAGCACGAAGGGACCAGTGGTGCGTAAGGCCAAAGCCGTGGCATTATGAGAGGGAGTTATATAAATCTCAGTGGGAATAAATGTATCTGAGAGACTAAGGGCTGGGTTCCTCTTTCTTGTGACTACTGAATTAAGTGTGGCCCAGAGTTGAAAACTCTGGTGAGATGGTCTAGGGTGCCCTGTTTTCAACCCTTCTCTCCGCTTCTAGCACCGGCCTCTGGCAGAGCTATACAGAGTAACAGCAAGAGGGTATCTCGCTTTGGGGTGCTCTAGGTCAAGATCTCACCCTAATCAGGAACCTAATCTTTTCCAAAAGAAATAATTACTTAGCTTCCTAACTTCCTAAGCTATTTCTTCTCCTCCATGAGCTCAAGCCTGTGTGTCCCAGGGACTGCTGGGAATTTGGCTTCTAGCAAGAACACTCTTGTCTCTAGAAAACAGCTGGACTTGGAGGTATCCTGGGATAATGCTTCACCTGCTGTGTGAACTTCTCCAAATAGCTTTATGCCTCTGATCCACTTTTCTAGCATATGTATTTAGAGAAAACTTCTCCTGTCTCCTTCCTCTCTTTATAGGTGTGTTGGGAGGATCCAGGAGATAATGAGTGTGAAAATATCTTGGAAGGAATTAATATGTAACGAGCACATATTTTGTTAATGGAAATACTGTATTTTATTGAAAAAAGAAAAAAGAATCATCAGCAATATGGTGAAATGCCCTCATGTGACACAAGGTCTGTTGGGAGGTTAGGAGCTTTCCTTTCTTGTTCATTATTTTTATGACGAGTCATAAATAAAGCATTGACTAAAAAGCGAACGCCAATAAAGGAATGGACTCTGGTCTGTGGGAGGACTAGGGGGCTATGTCTGCATTAAGACTGGATCAAATCAAGCACTTCTGAATATAATGATTATGTTTTGGGGGTTTACTTTGTGCAGGAGATAAGAGGTTTTAATGGGATTGTGTTGTAGTAGTAATGAGAGTAACGTGAGTACTACATTAGATGTGATGAACACAGTTTCCCACTTCTCATTTTTTTTCAGTGAGGAAGGGAGACAAAGAAGAGATGAAAGCTCTAGAGAAGGAAGAAAGAAAGAGACAGAGATAGAGAGGGAAAAGCAGAGAAAGAGGGAGGGAGAGAGAGGGACAGAGAAAGAGAGGTGAAATTTCTGTATTTTCGTTTCTGTCCAGCAATTGTCTACACGTGGCCCTGGAGGGAGCATGGTCTGCAATCTTAGTAGCAGAATGTCTTGGTCTTATCCCCACCCAAACAAAGGAACTAAGCGTCCCTATCCCACCTCCCATCACCCCAGTCATTTGCTACTGCTCTAGGGGCTTAAAGGATGCCAGAAATGAATATGTGATCGCTTCCTGCCTAGGACTTGCAGTATATGTGGTGAGGGGCAACAGGAGTTAGCTGGTTCCACCTTTGCACACATCTTCAGAGGACTTTGCATTCATTCGTGCATGCATGCACGAATTGAACAAATGTTTATTGGGCACCTACAGTGTGCCAGATGCTGTCCTAGACTCTGAGTCTGCAGGAGTGAATGAAACAGATGAGATTTCCACACTCCTGGAGCTGACATTCTAGGGGAGACACAGAAATAGACAAGCAAGGAAGCAGGTAAATAAGGTGATTTTGGATTGCCTTAAGTGCCATGATGCAACTTAAAAAGGAAAATGAGTTAGACAGGAATGCAAGGGAGGGGTGTGAAAGGTGCAGCCACGTTAGACGGGATGATCAGGAAAAGCCTTCCTAAGAATGTGCCATCTGAGCCAGCAGGCAAATGATGAAAAGAACCTGGCAACGCATAGGTCTAGGGGAAGAGCATTCCAGGCGGAAGAAATGGCAAGTTCAGAAGCTGGTTCATGTGGACAAGCTTAGCATGTTTGCAAAACAGAATGGACGACAGGAGGAGAGAGAGTGATAGATGGGAACCCATGCTTTGAGAACTTACTCGGCTCCATGCTGGAAAGCTACTGAGTAGCCATGCTCCCTCTCTTGCCCATTCATCCAGGATGGACAGGGATCAGGACCGTGAGACTGGAAGACAGCCCAGCTCACAGCCCCTCACTCTCCACTTTCGGTTGAAGCTGCACTAACCCACTTCAAGGGACTATGTACCCTGGTGGGTAATCTGACGTCTCTGAAGTCAGATGGCCCCAGCTGGAGGCCTGAGCAAGTTGCACAGCCTCTCTGTGCCTCGGATTCCTCATTTATGGGATAATAACCATAGTCCCCACTCCTAAGATTATTCTGAGCATCAAATCAGTCAATACTGTTAGAGCAGTGCTGTCATAGTGTTTTGTTATGGTTCTTACCACTATCTGAGATGCAAGAGAGTGCTTTCCCCGCCTGGTTTAAAAGGAAAAGTGTGCCCCAGCCCACGGACTGGCAGGAAAGCTGCTATGATTATGGTCTGGCTGTGGTAGTGGATTGCTTCTTGTAGACTGCTGTTGCTGGAAGCACAGAGTGCCGCTGTCTGTTTCTCCCATCAAAGACTTTATTAAGCACCTGCCTATGCCCTCTCTTCAGCTGAGCAGGGTCCAGAGACACAGGGTAGACGTGGCCCTGCCCTCTGGGAGTGTCACAATCTAACCCAGACATCACAGGGGCTGATAGAGATCAAGAACACAGACAGTAAGCCTGAGTGAATTACAGTAATATCGGGTACAAGAAAGAGATGCATGCTTAAACACAGCTAGTGGGTAGGGTGCCTATTCAAAGAGACAAGTGGGGAAATTGGCTACCTTATCTCCAGTTAGTCAGCGAAGGCTTCTCAATTGCTGCCCAAGTGAGAAGAAGTAGCTTCAGGCTGCAAGGCCGAGGTTAGACACATGCAAGTAGAAGGGATGTGTTCCCCACCCCCACCCCGACCACCATGGTGGATTTTATCTTTGTGCCACCTCCAGGCACTCCACGAGTGGATACCTTGACAAAGAGGTGAAACTGCCTCCTAGCTGGGCAGCTGTGGAGTACCTGGAAGTGGCTATAAGGATGAAATCCACCATGGCAGGCAGGAGTAGGGGCAGGAGGGCAGGAGTAGGGGCGGGAGGTCCTGGCCCTGGTGGAAAGCAGGAAATGAGTGTGGAAATGTTGACCAGGTTCGGTGTGCCTTTTTGTTCTTTCTTGGGTTGGCTTCCCTAGAGCTTTGTGTCCAGAATAGACAAGAATAGCATGGAATGTTTTAGTCAGTGTTTTTGTTTGTAGAGGAGTAAGATAAAGGATTCCCGGGCCCAGGAATCTGGACCCAAGATACAATGAGAACCCTGGAACAAGAGTTCAAAGACAGCGTTTAGAAGAAATCCAAATGGCATACTTATTCTTCTTAGCGCTATGGTTTGATTTTACATCTCTTTATCTCCCTCTCTCTTTCTTTCCCTTCCTTTCTTCCTTCCCTCCTTCCTGCCCTCCTTTCTCTTTCCCTCTCTTCCTCTCTTCCTCTTTCTTTTATTTTCTGTCTTCTGTCAGGTCTCACTCTGTTACCCAGGCTGGAGTGCTATGGTACGATGCTGGCTCCCTGCAGCCTTGATCTCCTGAGCTCAGGCTATCCATCAACCTCAGCCTCCTGGGTAGGTGGAACTACAGGTGCATGCCACAACACCTGACTAATTTTAAAATTTTTTTTTTTGTAGAGGTAGAGGTCTCACTGTGTCATCCAGGGTCTTGAACTCCCGGGCTTAAGCTATCTTCCCGCCTTGGATTCCCAAAATGCTGGGATTACAAGCATGAGCTACCACACCAGGTCCTGATTTTAGATTTCTTTGTGTATTTAATATCTGTCTCCACAAAGAGTAGACCCACCCCTAACATTTGTGGGCTCTAGGGCAAGAGTATAAATGGAGTTTCACGTACCATAGGCCAATGTATTTAGAAGTAATAAATCCAGCTAACACATCGTTAAGTAAAATACATTCTCTCCTCCTATCCTGACAAATATACCTTGGAAACAAACTGGAAGACAGGTTTGAATTTAGAACTTTCAGATGCCTCTGAATTCTGTGCCAGCCAAATAGGGATCTCTGCCCCTTGGTCTAGAGGCCACTCCGATTCTGTTCCCAACACTGACTCCTTCCTGCACCAAGGAGCCTCTCAAATGCACACGTGTGGACACTCCAGCTGGCTTGTCCACGCTCCGTCCACACTATCCCCCAAACAGCAGCCCTTACCCCATTCCCTGCCCTTGAGCCCAGTTTATAGACCTGAAGAAGAGAGCCCTGTAGGGTCTGGAAGCAGGCGTATGGCTGCCTGGGCAGGAATCCCAGGGCTTCAGGGAATTGGAGCACATTCTGGAAGAGGGGTGAGGCTCCTTGGCCCTCCTGCAGATGCCTCTTGCTGTGGGAAGAGGCACAGCTGGAAAGGGGCCAGAGTGGGGCCCTCTAACGCCTGGGGCATCTTGCCTGGGTCTAAGGGAGGCACTGCAGAGAACTGTAAGATCCCTGGGAGCAGCCATGGCTGGGTCATCAGTTTTCAACCCAGTGCCTGGCACCTGCTTCATGCTCTCCAAGTACTTACTGAATGAACAGGCCCCTGGAGCTCATTCAGTGGGCAGCTCCTTCAAAGAAATGGAGACCATTTAGGAGAAAAAGACTCACTGTTGTCTAATGTTGATGGTGTATTCTGCAGAAGGAGCCCAAAGTGCCTTGGCCAGTGACGAAATCTCCAGGGAAGTCAGCTTGGGTTTTGATATTAGAAAGAACTTTCTATGAAAGCTGTCTCAAGATAATATCGTTTGCCTTGGAAGAAGGGGGATCTTATGGGCGACTAGTTAACCCTCAAGATCTCTTTATTCATAAATGAGATCATTTTGGGGTCCAGAGAGATTTCCAAGCTAAGCAGAAAGGGGCGATCCCTCATCCCTCTCTGATTCAAGGGGTCATCTCATCCCAGGACTTCTAGGCCCAGTATACACAATACATGGCATATACAAATGTGTCTTTGGCAAAGATTGCAAAGAGCAGACGCTGTCCTGTGTTTATAAAAACGCTCAGTTGTTGGCAGTCACGGAGTCTTACTGTAGCCCAGGCTGGAGTGCAGTGGAACACTCACAGCCACCACAGCCTTGATTGCTGGGCTCTGGTGATCCTTCCGCCTCAGCCTTCCAAGTAGCTGGAACCACAGGCACGTGCTGCCATGCCCAGCTAATTTTCGGATTTATTGTGGAGACAAAGTCTCACCAAGTTGCCCAGGCTGGTCTTAAACCCCTGGACTCAGGCAGTCCTCTCACCTCCACATCCCAAAGTCATGGGATTATAGGCGTAAGCCACCACACCTGGCTTTTTTTTTTTTTTTTTTTTTTTTTTGCGGGGGTGGGGAGGTGAAGAGAGAGGTAAGGGTGTTCAAATCCTGCCATAGGATTCCTGGTGATTTCATAGATAGAGCTTTGAGTGCATCTGTCTCACTTTCTCAGACAGAACTAGGAACGAGAGAAGGGGCGAAGCTTGGATCTTGACTGTTGTGGAGCAGGTCTCAGATCAATTATCTGTAGATCCTCTACACAGTGCTCACTTTGGAGCAGTCCCTTACTAGCCATCCTGGGGTCTGGCTTCTAGGTAAGCCCCCTTCTGGAGAGTTACTTCATAAGTCTGCTAGGAGAGGAGGTTCCGAAATATGAATTTCAGAAGAGCCTGGGAAAAGAAAGGAGATTGTGAATATCTCTCTCTATCTCCCTTTCTCCATCCCTCTCTCTCACTCTTCCTCCACCCCAATCCTGCCACCTCGTTCTCTCTCCCTCTCCCTCCCTCCTTTTCTCTCTGTCTCTCCCCCCCCCCCCCCACTCTTTTTCTGCACTCTTTTCCAGCTGGTATGCTGGAAAAGCCCAGCTGTGGTCTATGAGTTGGGAGGAGGGAAAGGAGGTTGGAGAGGGAGGAGATACTCAGAGGAGTGTGGGAATGAACGAGCCGCTTCTTGTTTGCCGGGAAGGAAGCCAAGTTGGAAGTGAGCCGGGATGTAAAGGAGCTGGCGAGCAAATACTGTATGGCCTGAGCTGCATACCGTCCCCCTCCTGAGATGTATCACATGTAAGCCAGAGTTGACGTGCACGTGTTACATAGAGTACACATTTGATACTCCCTCTTTGTATGTTAAAAGCAAAAGTGGGGTGCACCCAGGAATGACTATCTCATGACAAAATAGCGAAATTTAATAAGCTACAACTGGAGCTCTAGGTAGATGCAAACACGGTCAGGAAAAAGAAGAGGATTTTGCAAATACAATCTTCATCCAACTCTGTGATTCAGAGCTCACGTCCCACAAGGGGGACGCAAAGACCCCAGTCCTGGACCCAGCAAATTGCGCTCGTGAGGGTTTCTCCCGGGCCTGCCTGCAGCGGTGTTGAGAAGGGCAGATCAAATTATTTTCTCCTTTTATGGAAATATTATTTGGGATATGGTTGAAGAGAATCAGCATCAGTGTCTCTGAAAAAAGCTCTTAAAGCCATCTTAGGGGCTAGCATAGGATTCCGCATACAGTAGGTGCTCATTATCTGTTAATCCTTTCCCCTCCTGCTGGGTATGTGTCCATTCCATATTAATAGTGCTGTCATTGGTCCCCCGTATATGCATGGTGGAAGGTATATTTGTGTGTGTGTGCGCACATATGTGTATAAATTAAAATGCCAGAGAAAGAGGATATGAATGATCCCATCTAGCCTCATTTTCTGATTCTGTCATGATAAATAGGGATGATTCTTGTCCTGCTAATCAGAGATCATTGTCCTGACTTGAG